AACAGAGAACGGCTGAGTGTAAAAATATACGAATTTGAGTAAAGGTTATTCAACAAGTGTCGTAAGTGGCGCGTCTGAGTGTTACGTTAACGCAGTATCGTCTCACTCTCGAACAGAAATGTACATATGTATGTACGTAAGGTTGGGAAAGTTTTTTTCTGGGTGCTCAAAGGAAAGTGTTGTGTTTGGTGAGAAGAAAAAGTATGTTTAGGGTCGAGTTTTTGCAAAAAATGTTTAACAAATTGTTGAATGAGTGATTTTCATACATAGCGTGCGCAATATTTTTTTGTAGCTCACTTGACGAGTTCGTTGCCGAGTGGGTGTCTGTAGAGAGCGGGTGAGTTGATGTAATTGAAATTAGAGTAGATTTTGTTATGGTACTTCGTGGAGTTATGAGTGAGGTGTGTTTAGTCTGTGTTGAGTTATTGTGAGGGCATGTTGTTTGAGTTGTATGGAAATGTTTGAGACGAGGTCGTGCTTGTGTGAGATGAATTCGCTCAGTTCAGAAGGACAATATGAACGTTATATATTGCTTTTTTATTTTTATTTTTGTTTTAAATTATTATTTGTCTACCATTTTTATTTGTATTTTAATTTTGAAATAATATTTGTTAATTTTATTTTAATTTTTCAAATTTTAGTTATTATATTTATTTAATTAATTAATTTTTATTTCAATTTTAACTCGTATATAAATATTTTTGATTTATAGTTAATCTAATTATAGTTTCATTGTCTAATTTTTTTTTTAATTTCAATTATTATTTGTTATTTATGTTTGTATATTAATTATTATAAAAAATTTTTATTTTCATTTTTGTTTCATTTATTTGATTAATAATTTTATTATAATTATAGTTCACTTTTTATTTTGATTTGGGTTTTATTTTTTATCTATGTTTTTAATTAGAATTTGATTACATTTTATATTATTTTCTTTAAGTTTTACATATATCATTTAATTTATATTTTTTATATAATTTATGTTCAATTTTGTTTCTATCAATTCTTAGTTATGTTTTCATTTGAACTACTGTAAAATTTTTTATATAGATTTTATATTAAACTTTTTTGTAATAAGATTTGAATTTTTTTTTTATTTATTTAGTCATTTTCATTAATCTTTCAATTTTCAATTTTCGTGTTAGTATAATTAATATTTTTTTATTGTTTTATGTAAGTATTATTTCCTATATATGTTTAAATTTTTCATTTCATTTATGTTGCCATTTTATAATTGTTTGATTGTATTTTGGTTTTTTTGTACAATTTTTTTATTAAGTTTTTGAAATTTTATTGTTATGTTCTTTTTTATTTGTAATTACGTATTTAACTTCATCTATTTATTTTAAATGTTTATATTTGTTCTTCACTTGTTTATTAATATGTTTATAGTTATATATAAATTTTTTCTATTCTTTAATTTTACTTTTATAAATTCAAAATATTATTTTTACTATAATTTTTATATTTTATCATCATTTTTGTTATAATATTTATTTATTCTTTTAACTTATATCCATTCTTCCATTCTATTTGCATTTTCTTCTCAATTAGTTTTAAAAAATAATAAATAAATAATAAAAATTTTTTTTTTTATGTAAATTGGAATCCAATTTTAATTTTCAGTAGTAAGTTTATTGTTATTTTTTCTTACTTTTTTGTTTAAGTGTATCGTTTGTTTTATTTACGTTCATATTTTTTATTTTTTTTTATTGTCATTTCCATAATTATTTGATTTGTATGTTATTTACTTCTTATAATTATGCATTTAATTTTTATTTATTTTTTATTTATTTTTTATTTATGTTTTATTACTACTAATTTTTTTTTCAATTATTTTTAATTTAAAGTTTTGTTTACTATTTTGTTATCTTATTTTACTAAATATTTATATTTTTAATTTCATTTAAATTTTCGTTCTCATTTTTATTTCACATTTTAAGATTTAATTATGAATTTTTTCTTTAATTTTGTTTTCTTATTATATTATTATTTTGACATTTTTTTATTATCTCTTTATTTTTTATCCAATATTATTTTTGTTTTTATTATTTATAATTATATTTTTATTTCTATGTATTCTTGTTATTATTTAATTTTTGTGTAGCCATCTAAATGTAATTTCTTGAGTTTAATTAATAAATAATCTAGATCTTTTTATTACTGGAAATGCAACCCTATATTTTGTCCTCTTTACCTATGCTTAAAATATTTAATTTTAAAAGAATTTTTTGGTGGAGGAATGTTTATTTTACTTATACTTTTTGTTGCTATGATTTTAAGGAAATTTTTAAACTTTAAAAATTATTTAAAATATAATAATTTAAATATCATACAAATGTGTTATATAATATACAATATATAAAATTTAAATCTTATCAATATAGCTCTTATCCCATTGAGATCGTCGTGATTTCTATACTGAAAAAGAATCAAATTTTTTGTTTTTAAATTATTTATGATCTACTTTATCAGCAAATTATTCATAAAAAAGTAAACCACATGAACATTTTTGTTTTCGCCTCCTTCCACTCATGCATTGCTCTTGTCATTATTACAGCTTTTGTTATTGTGCTTACTTTGTAAGTGCTTTATGTTGCCAAATAATAAAATGGAACAGACACAATCCGGCAACATTTTAAGTTGCATTATTTTTGTCTGACGCTCTTCGCTTTATTCATTTCACTTGGTTTAATTTGTTTCTTTTAATATTTTTAACATTGCTTTTATTTTATTTTTGTGTTTATGATTATTAATATATTATTTTAAACTGTTTTTTTTTTTATTTTGAATAAGGATTTCTAAATTTTATTTTGTCATTTTGTAGTTGAACTCTCTTTGTCGAGCAGTCAGATGAAAACCAAAAGAAAGGTCGATCCTCATACTTATATAGAAATGAAATACTTTAATGCCAATAAGTCTAGACTAAGGGAGGGCCTATTGAATTAAAAGTTTGTAAAGGTTGTATAAGAATGCATCTAAAATTTATATGATTGGCACAACTTCTTCTATAAGAAATATTCTTTATTATTTTTATAAAATTTTATTTTTATTTATTTACTTATTTCTTCATAAAAATAAGTATTTTTTCCTCGAGTTATTTTCCTTTGAAATTCGTAAGTTTTCTATACTGTCTAATAATCACTCGACTCGGCAGATATTGATATGGTACGCTTCTGCACCTTGCAGCAGAAAATGAAATATTAGATGTGAAATAGAGCTTCTTGTTTAGTCATCGAGAAGTGTTGTATTTGAAGGCTGAGATTATTGCTGGTGTTGATGTCGGAACTTAGTTCAACGAAATTGCTTAAAAATTCAGAATTACGATTGTCAACAGTGACATGAGAGCCAAGACGCGAGAGCGCTGACAGTTCGCTTTATGTCAGAAGTTATTTCCTTTCGACTTCTTCTCTAAAAGTCTTAGTCTTGTTTTTTGTGCAGTCAAGAAAAAGGAGATCTAGCAGCAGGGTTGTTAAAACCCCTGGTATTAAAATGATAGTTGCACGCTCTTATTGTTATATTATTGAACTTTCTTTATTTAGATCTGCTGCAATTCAGCATACTGTTGTGGGCATCAGTTGCTGGATCACTTCTAGTCTAACCTTGAAACATTTTTAATGTTGTATTTTCTGTTGGACTTTTTAGGCATTACCTCTGACGACCAGATTCTCCAAATCATCATACACATGCATTCAGGCATCTCACTTCGTATAGCTTTCATGATAATTAAATGGTATATTATATATACTTTGTTCTGAAGTATGTAAGTACCAGAAAGAAAACAGATAGAGCTATACAAATATAGACCGACAGTGTCATAATTTTGAGCTGAGTTGATTCTGCCTTGCCCGTCCTTCCGTCTGTTAATATGCAAACTAGTTCCCCCATACAACTGATTTGTTCAGATATGAGGTTTTGGGTAAAAAATCCGTCAAAAAACATTTAACCCCAAGAAATTTGGTATTCTACACACGTATACAGCTCCTTTCTGATAATCCTAAAATAAAAGACAAGAAATTTGATTTGATCATGAAAATTATCTAAACTTCGACAGGAGTCGGCCGGAAATGAGTCGGTCTCGAGTCATCTGAACAAGAATACTGGGGACATGTGTGTGTCTATCACAACATGATCGATGCGGTTTTGAACTTTTTGATCAGGGAACAATCAAGTAGCTTAATGAATTTTCTTGTGCTGGAATTTAATATTATTGGTAACCGAGTTTCAGTTCCCGAGACGTATCGTTGTGAATGCTGAATTTTCCGACAGCCGACACCACAGATATCTCTTTGCTCCCCCTAACGTTTAAATCGTCAAAGATAATAGAAGTGGTAGCGCTCATATATACGCTGAAGATGCCCATAAAAGGCAGCCTTAGTCACATCGTCCTCTTTTTCCGTCAATTCTGTGTAATTGCAAACTTATTATTTTGCTGTGTAAAGGGAACCATAAATCTGAAGAATAGGCTCAAAAGTGACTAAATTATTTTTATTCTAGTGTCGGTTAAGGATTTTGTAGGGAAAAATAAAGTTGAGCTGAATTTTTTTATGGCTAAGAGCAACATGCAGCACTCGAAAGGTTTTGGAAGTGGAATGTTGAATTAAATATTAGGAAAAAGAGGAGATATCAACTCCAGTTTTCTGAAATTATATATATTTTTTAATTCAATTTTATTACAATGCTAAGAAATTTCAAAACATTCATGAATTCGCTAACATTGGAAGTTGGACAAAACTTACAATCAAACTTTCATATATATATGCTATGTATATTTATATAATTAATAAATTCTTTGGCAGACTCTTAATCAATGTTCGCTGCTTATTTAACATTCATCAATTGAAAAACATTTCGAAAAAGTTTATGCATTTTTTAACTCATTATGAAATACAGTCCAAATTCTTTTATTCACTTAGAACACAAATCACACAGAAGAGTTTTAGAAAAAAAAACAGAAAGTAATTTTTTTTTCTCCCAAAACTATTCTCCATTTGCAGATTAACGCAGGAAACTACTTGAACGGAACGCTAAGTGGGTCGTCAACTCGCCAAAATCAATGCGAAAAGAGGAAAGGAGAGAGTAGAAAGAAAGAGAGTGAGTCCTGGTAGTATTCCCGCAAAGTAAACTTTCGACAAACTGCCAATAAAGTGAAACTTCTCGAACAAAAAAGAAAAAATAGAAAAACAAAACACACAAATTGTGCTTCAATTCAACGGCACCGAGACGTCGGTCATTTTGGATCAATCGCAGAGTACGACTTTGTTCCAAGTAACAGAAGAAGTGGAGTAGTAAAAGTAAAAAAATTGTACAGTATTTGAAGTAATTAAAATTTTTGTTACAAAAGTAAAATCGGCGAAAGCTTTCGAAAATCGGTTGAAGCTTTTGAATTAAGACAAAGAAAAAAATCAAATGAAATAAATTTAAAATAAAAAAAATTGCGCGGCAAAACTTGTTCGTTTTAAAATAGCAACAACAACAAGTAAAACGCAAACGCTAAAGAAAGAAAAAAGAAACGTAAACCAATCTGAGAACTACAGACGAGACTGAAACGTGCGCGCTTGCAACGTTTGCTGGTGGCAAGTGGCAGCATGAAAGGCTTGCTTGAGTCGTGCAGTGGCAGAAAGCAATGAAATAATTAATTCATTGCACTTAAAATTGCAGTTTTTAACTTGACTAACAAGAAAATTGCATTCTGTTCAAAATATATCTAAAACTACAACAACAAACAGCAAAAATAGTGAATGAGTGACAGGAGAAGAAAAAAAACTGAATTCGAAATAAAAAAAATAAATAACAAAAGTGAATAAAGACCAGAGCAGAGGCGAGTGTAGGAAAAGTTTGCGTGACAAAGTTGCATTTAAAGCACCGAATTGCGGAGTGGCAAAGGAGGAGAGAGCGAGAGAGAGAGGTGGCTAGGAGAGCAAGTGTTTATAAATCTTTCGTGGGTTAAGCCCAGCATAAATAAAAATGACGTACACCGCTGGTATACTGAATTGCATAAAATCCCAAACGCAACAACAACCACAACAACAAAGAGTTGGAAAATTTATCGAAGTGAAGAACAATCGTGTTAGCGAACGCGAAAAAAACGTCATAACGAAAAGTTGTAAATTCATGTCAGCACAGCAACGTGCAACACACGCGCCCACCCTAACCCACCATCAACAGAAACAGCTGCAACGAGAGGCACAAGAATTGCGCACAGCTGACAGATTAGTTGCTAGCAGTCAGTCAGTCACACGCACTGCAGAATTTCAACTACACAACTCTACCACCTCCTCCAATATGGCTGATGCTTGCAACTTGCCACACTTACTTGATGTAGTGGAAAATAAGAAGGCGACAAATATTAGCGTCGCTATCTCTGCCAATGCTACCAATGCAAATATCGTCCAAACGCGGCGGCAGCAGGTGCAACACCAGCACCAGCATGAACACCAACAGCAAACCTTCATTCCCAACAAGCCGTTGAGCAACGACAACAATTGCGAGAACAGCAGACAACAGCAGCAGCAGCAGCAACAACAACAACAGCAAAAGCAAGAGAAAACTTATTGTCGCTATGCACAAGTCTTCGCTGGCTACACACAGCTACTGAGCGTCATGTTGTTGTTCGCATCCCATCATTTTCCAATTGGTAAGTGAAATTTGAAATATTGCCACATAACATACTTTTCTTTATATTGTAGAAAAGTCCTTAAATTAAAGTTCCTTAATTTTATGGTGTGAAAATTTTAAGAGTATATATTTGTAAAAGCACGGCCGAAAAGCAGCTAAGAGCATGAAATTTTAAAAATTGTCACCGAAAGTCATTGAAATCGGAGGGCTACAGCGTTAGCCCCAATACAGAAATTATCGCGGTAAATTCAATTTATTTTAGCTTGAGAAAACAGATTTTAGTACTAAAAAAATATTGTAGTTTTCCGAATCGGCAGCAGTCTGAACTCATGAAGCGACGCTGTTGATAGAAGTCGTGCGAAGGAGTGGAACCAATTTTTTTTTAAACATTCGTGAGAGTCTCTTCTATATGAACTAAAACTTACCAACGAAGTTGCAAAATTTCATATTTTTTCGAAGTTTGAAAATAAAAAAAAATCAATTTAAGTGGCAAAAAACGAAAATACGCTTCAAAGTTCGCTTCGAGCAATCGCAATCTTTTGAATCACACTATACGAGGTGTGTCAATTAAGTAATGATACTGATTCCATAAAAACAGTATATTTCAAAATTAATCTACAACTCTGCCATCCCCTTTAAAGTAGTCCCCTTGGGCAGCTATACAACGATTCCAGCGCGTGTTCCATGTTTCGTAACATTTCTGGAACGCTTCGATTGTGATGTTCGCGAGTGCAACCGTCACGGCCGCCTGGATGTCCTCAATCGACTTAACCCCCGATTTTTTTCTAGGGAACAAAAAAAAAAACCGCAGGGTGACATATCGTGTGAATAAGACGGTTGTTGTAACACGGCGATCCATTTAGAGGAAAAATACTGGAACACACTGAGGGCGTAATGAAAGATCCATTCGCGAGCGGTGTCTGGGTGCACAGTGTGGACTTGTTTTCGCAATATTTCGAGTACTTGACGATGGTAGACTTGATATACGGTTTATCCACGTGGAAAAAATTCTTTGTGGACGATTCCACGGCTAACAAAACAGGCAATAATCATCGTTTTCACCTTCCACGCTTTCACGCCCCTCCTTAAACTCTTTATGCCATGGAAACAACTGGCCACGACTAAGAGCGCTATCATCATGCACTTTTACAATTTTAGCATACGTTTCCGATGCTGCTTCGCCCAATTTGGTGCAAAATTTTATCGCAACGCGTTGTTTTTAATTTCGTTTTTCCATTTTCGTGACGAGCAACACGATCAGACTTTTACTCAACACGACATAGCAGGCGAAGTAAACAGTCTCATTACTTAATTATCATACCTCGTATAATAGAGTGATCCGAAGTGTCGGATTCCCAATCCAGTCGGTATAAATTTCGGGAGGGTTACTCATTTTTCTTTTTGTTATTTGCAAAAAATAAAAAAAGTTTTAGGTTTTGCAGATTTTTGTTTAATTTTTTTGTCCACTACAGCGAAATTCTCTAAAATTTACGGACTTCTTTCATTTAGTCTTTTGTTACAGTTTGCTATTTGGGAATCTACAAATGTTAAGATATTGTATTTTTGCAATTTTGCTTTTCAAATATTTACCTTTTATTAAGTTGCTATACATGTCCTTGAAGTATGATAACTTTGTCTATGACACCCACTTGAGCTAGATGTGCTTTTATTGTTCGTTAAGAGAATAGATTGCAATTTTTGTTAGAGAACTTTACTTAAAAAGATTGAACAAAGTGTGCGAAATTTTAGAAGCGACCTATCTTGAAATAAAGCAACAGTTAGAGGAAGCGATGAACTATGAAACGAAAGGTTACGCGCAGAATTACTGAAAATCATTATAACATATGTCAAAATTAAGGCCCAATTATCGCAGGGAAAGCATTCTAGATTTAAATTGCATGGTACAAAGCTAACTCTTGCCACCAGATTAAACCATCAAAAACTAATATCAGTTCCTCGATAGAAATTTTAGAAGGACAGTCGTTTTACGGCCGTAAATGACTTCAAAACGATCAGATAAATATTTGTCTCAAAAAACGAAGTTTCCAAGTTTAGAACAAACCTTGTTTAAGTTAAAAATACTCTCACTGAATGGCACTAACAACTACAAAAAAACAAACTTGTTTATCTGCCACTTAGGGATATTATTAAAAAAGATATAATTATAGTTATAAATTATTTATGAGTTGGGGGCAGCGTGTCGTAAAACTTTTTCTTAAGGGGCAAACCTAGTGTAATGCCTAAAAAAAGGTAATTTTTGGAAAGTTTTAATAAAAAAATACTTTGTCAATTATTTTAAAGTTTAAAAAATATATTTATACATGTTTCAAGAATATACAGTGAAATTTTTGAAGAAAAAATTTATATATCTTTTAAGTTATAGTCAATCTCCAACGGCGTGAGAAAAAAGGTCCTTCACTGCTGCAGTGATTCCGGCCTTCTCTGTGGATGAAATCTAAAAAAAATTCTCGTTAAACTAGATAATATTGTCTGTAGAATGACTTATGATAAAAAAATTAAAAATTTTAATTTTAATAATTTTACACAAAATTTGGTCGTTCGATTTTTTGATCAGATCAAAAATCAATAGGACGGAGAACTATATATAGAACATGTAAAAAAAAAATCGATAGTGATCGGATCATTTGTTTTTAAGTAACCACTGCAGCGAATTCGGAAAATGCTGTTTCGAGAAAAACGCGTTTAAAGATAAAAAGATCGTTTTCACTCGTAGCTAATGAGATGCTCTAGCTGCCGAGCGGCTGCTCTTTAAATTGCTATAACTCAAAAGCTATTTGAGCTATTGATTTGAAATTTTAATATGTTATTTTTAAAAGTGTAATCTATCGAAATATGAAAAACAAGATCGATTTTTTTGAAATTTCACACTAGGTGCGCCCCTTAAGTTTTTGGTAGAGCTTTGATACCTGGATATCGATTTTCAACTACTGTTTGAAATTTTTCTATTTTAAATTGTTTATTCTAAAAGTTTTTTTTAGCTCTGAGAAAAAAGTCAAATTATTTCTACAAAATCAAGGCGAAGTTATAGAAGGTGAAATTGTCATTTCATATGATTGCTTGTTCTTCGTTTTATTTCACAAATTACACAAACAAAATACATAGGATTTTTGTTTTTGCATTCTTGCTACAACCGTGTGTAAATTTTCCTTGGTACAAAATGTTCGAGAATGTTGGAAAAATGTCCCATTACTCGAGCTCGTGTTCGAATTTTAAGACCAATGAGCTATAAACGAGTGTTCGAGTACTCGTTGCTCAAGTGCTTGAGTAGTTAATTTGAAAGTTTGAATAAAATATTGAGCTCTAGTTTTTCGTTTCTCAATAATTTGTCATTTTATACCTTCCACATCGATTTTACTGCTATTTCAATTTCTAATCAATCAATGGGTCGAGTTAGCTAGAAAGAATATGGTCCGAAGTACACCCAAATAATCGATACCTCTACATTACATACACTGAAAGCTTTGCCCTGCTACACTCCCCGTTGGGTTTCCTATTCAATGCACATTGTTGTTTTTTTTAGCAGATTAAAGTAGGCATTTGGATTAGTTATCCAGTGTTGATTGAAGGTTCTGCAGCATTTCCCAATCAAAATCTTTGTCTGTCGTGCGCCAGGCTTTCAATATCTGCATTTCTTAACTTTTTTTGGCTTCAATTCCAATTCCGAAAACCATTTAGCTTGGCGATACAAGTACATTTATTGAGTAAGTTTCAATCACAACTCGTTTTGAAAGACCATCCTCTGTAGCCAGCTTATCAGCCTCTATACCTGGTATCCAATAAATTTGAGCTCATTCATTCTTTGTTAGTATTTTCTTCACCTTTTTACATAGTGCAATTGCTGTCGAGTTCGTGTTGCATGAAAGTGAAGCTTTATTAGGCGCTTCCCAATCTTCATAAATATTAATATTCCTTCTGTTTAAGCCTGCGCTCCACAGTTCATTTACCGCCATCTTTGCAGCAAGAATTTCGGCTTTGAAAAATGAATGAATGAATGAATGAGTTGTTTGGTCCAAACGTCTCATAGAGGCAGCTGCCGAAAATTTCTCAGATTTTATTCACAACGGCTTTGATGACTTTTGTATCGGTGTTATGTTTTTGATTATTCAGCTGATGCTTATCATTGAAGAATTATTAAAAAAAATTATGTTTTGGAAAAAACTATTGTCTTTCCCACTACTAATTTGAGGACCTTTCCTCAGCTTTATGGATTTAGCTCTAAACCTAACCAATTCGGCTAAAACTGAGTTAAGAATCAATCGTTTGTGTACTCATTGAGAGAGAGCCTTGAAGCTGATATTGATAAATTCTATCGATATAAATTAACAAAAAACGATTAAGTAGAGTAAAAAGTTTACTTTGAAGCAGGCAAATGCAATTAATTACTTTTTCTGAAAGAAAATCTCATTTGATTTTTGACTTTGCAGATAGTTGAACCTTTTTTCTTGAATAGCAACTCATATCTAATTATGGAAAGAATTAGGATTGCCTCAGATTTTCTAGATTCGGTAATATAAAAGGTTTCTTCCGCTCAATGTATCGAGCACTTAGGCAGATTTTTATTAACATTTGTATCTAGAAATGATAAATTGTGTACCACGCATCCATATTTTGTAGCAAAGTGAAATAGAGTTATTATTATTGAGGTTAGCCTAAATAAAAAAAACTCTTGGGAGTAAGTCTTAAAATAGTTTCCTAAAAACACAATTTACCTAAGTAATTCCACCATTGCAATACCTCACTTCATAAATATTTAATAAATCACAATCTCTTGAAAACCTATTCCGCCTCCCAATGCTATTCGCTTACAACTGAATACTGTGGCATGCTCTCAGCCAGGCCCCCCATTCCTTACCAGCACATCGAGAGCGAAGGATAAGCAATCGTTTTCCATTAAAATTAATATTGCAATTTCTTGCAATTGCATTCTACTTACTCATACAACTCTGGTGTGCCACACTACTCTTCTCTGCCATCAAAGTGGACGGCAGTTCTGCCTGC